GTCACAGCCAGCATCAGCTGACAACTGCTCAATTCCAAGAGACCCGCTCAGCTCCGACAAAAACACGCGTCCTTTGTTCAGATTCGTCCCCAAAAAGCACCAGAAAAATAAAATCAACGAGGACGAGACGGGACGGACACAAAACGCGCACAGGAGGGAAATGTACGAAGGTAAACTTGGTGAGATTTCATTAAGATTCCTAGGGCGAAGAGTATGAGAAATGACTGTCTTCTGGGATGTTTCCCGCGTAGTCTCGTAGAAATTAACCTGCTTCTCAGAGATACTTACTGCCCTGATGATAAAAGGCAGTCAGCATCTCCGACACGTTAGTCAATTTCTACCAGACTACGCGGCAAACATCCCAGAAGACAGTCATTTTGAATCGCTGTCTATTCTGAGAATCAGGCGAAAAAACATAAATACACTCCGCTATAGAATTTTCGAGTCATAAAACTTTAAAGCAGGTGAAATGCAGAATTACTGCTGACCTTTAAGAGTTACGGAATTGATTCTGTCTATAAATGGACGTTCCCATACGCTGCGTACAGTAGTGCAAATAGCTGGAAGGTTCTTCAGCAATCCGATAGTACATGACAGCCAAGTGACGTAGGAACAAAGGCATCACTGTGACTAGTCACGCCATGTCGGACGTCCGTCATCATTATTGCAAGGTGTTACTGATTGGCCGACAGCCACCAATCGCAACATTGTTATCATCGGGTTCTGGGGTACTTGATCCTCAGGGCAGGGTGTGAAAGAATGACTGTGAGGGGTGAGGGGAGGACGGAGTCCCTCATATCCGCTTGCAAGAAAGAATCATACAAAAATTATTAACACTTCACCATTACAAAGATCTACTGATTGACGCTGTTTATGAAACTGATCGTTGTTTAGTCTGAGATTCATACGAAGCCCATAAATACACTCTGTGAACAATGCACAGAGTTACAGACTGCTAAAGCAGGTGGTGCATATAGAAACCACTCCATTAATTCTTTACCTTGTCACTCAATGGTGATGAGTAATGAACTTCATACCCTGTTAGCTTTAGCCTAGAGAAAGTGCTGTTTGTACTCATCGGGTATGTGGTTTGAGGGGCACTAGTCTGTGAACGTCTTAGCAAAAAGAATATTCCTTGCCTCTACCGGGAATCAAACTCCAAACTTCCAGCACATAGCCAGTCATTTTAATAAGTAGACAAATATTTTGATTTCTCTATATAGGCCTATAACTTTATCATTTCGGATATGATGAAAACTTATTTTTCAGAAAAGTAATTAATTAAAAGCAAAACTTCCATCTTGGTACTACTGATGCAATATGATCACTACAAAGCGTCATTATGTAATTATATTCACTTACACTTATCATCTGATACAACTGCAACCAATAATGACTAGATAATGCATAGAATACATTATTAACCGCTAATATCTTGCACGTGTAGGTCTAGACTGCTTTATTAAAACTAATACCAATGAGAAAAAATAAAGAGAATGTAAAAGTCGCTGTACTCGTGTTTAGAATTTTCCTATCAGACCGATTATCCACTTCTTGTCCACTAGCTCTTAGAACTTAAAACATTACGTCGGTGTTAACAGTGACACAAGGAATAAGTTTCACTATCTTACGAAAAATGCGAACAACTCAGAGAAAAAAACATAAAACTATTCGATTTGAGGTTTTCGCAGCGGTGAGTATGAAGATTTCTGTCTTCTGGGTTGTAGCGCTGTGTAGTCTGGTCGATGTTTACCAACGTTTCAGAGGTCATACTGCCTCCGTCATCAGGGCGATTCTTAATATGAAGATTTCTGTCTTCTGGGTTATTGCGTTGTGTAGTTTGGTCGATGTTAACCAACGTTTCGGAGGTGATACTGCCTCCGTCATCAGGGAGATTCTTAGTATGAAGATTTCTGTCTTCTGGGTTGTTGCGCTGTGTAGTCTGGCCGATGTTTACCAACGTTTCAGAGGTCATACTGCCTCCGTCATCAGGGCGATTCTTAGTATGAAGATTTCTGTCTTCTGGGTTGTTGCGCTGTGTAGTCTGGTCGATGTTTACCAACGATTCAGAGGTCATACTGCCTCCGTAATCAGGACGATTCTTAGTATGAAGATTTCTGTCTTCTGGTTTGTTGCGCTGTGTAGTCTGGTCGATGTTAACCAACGATTCAGAGGTCATACTGCCTCCGTCATCAGCTCAACAACCCATAAGACAGAAAGCTTCATAAAACTATTCGTCAGAAATAAATAATGCGCCTCTCTGTACAGAACACAAATACTCTATCAGTAATGAACTAAACGTTTTGTAAGTTATTTTTCTTAGTCTAATAACTATTTGATTACAACCATCTGCGTCAAAACAACACAGATCCAAACTGTATTTCATACGAAGTGAAGGTTTCCGACATACGATATCACAAACATACCTGCGTGTGTGAATGCCACTTGTAGACGATGATCATGAGTCCTTGTTGCTCGAAAATGACACCTAGTTGCCATGGCATTGCTTTACGCTAGCAATCACAACTTGTTAGCAGCCGTCTGGAGATGACGGCACAAAGCAGCTGGAAGACAAACCAGAAATTAGCGGTTACGCTAATGATTAAAGCCCAACACATTGAATTAGTGCAATCCTAATACGGCAAAGATACATAATTAGAAACTTAGGAAGGGGTTCACAGGCATCAGGGAAGAACAAGACATCACAAAACGCGTATACAAATATATCTCCATAAACAACGATACTGTATCAATGTCTCGGGTCGTTACAATCAAATGACACACAATTATTCGCTAATCATAACCATCTTATCATCATTCGAAACAACTTAACTTCTGTATTTGTTACAGTGTTGTTAAATAACTTCAGATTCATTCCAACAACAGTGCTCAGAAGCGTATGAACAGCACTAAATAGCAGACACAATTATAATATTTATTTGTTGTACAACAAGGTAGGTCTAAGTCAAATGCAGTTCCTATCGATTTAAGCCCTTCTTCCTGAACACCAAAGCACTCATTCCATTCCTCTAGATCGGCATCGTGTAGTTCACCTACATTTAGCGTCGTTATATAAATCACAAACCAATCAATCAGATAGCTTGAAGGTAGGATTATAAAATTCTTCAAAGGAAATCGAAAAAGTGTCTCTAATACAGAGTGAGAGACTCTGAAGTTCAGAGAGTACACTTACAACTGAAAATATTTAATGACTACCAGCTCAGTACTTTCACTAAGCACCCACAAACATTGCAGGTGATTTTTTTAAAACGAACACGCCGAAAATATCGGCTGCCATTGCAAGCACTTCTACGCCGTAACGTAGAGGTCACAGGTTCGGATCTTGCCGGTGACCGTCTATTCTGAATAAATATGTATCGTAGTTTTCCTCAGTCCCTCAAGGTGCCTGGATGTATCTTAAAATTGTCCACTACAACTTCCCTGCAAATCCTTCCCAATTCATCATTTACAGGAATACGCCTATACAATTCGACATTTTATAAAATTCAGCTGAACAAGCGACATTAATTAACTCAAGAATCGACAAAGTCACAAAATAAGCACGCTAGTATTTACGGGCGCTTTGAAATAGTATCGGTTTCTTTTACGGTTTGCAGTCTGAAAAAAAAATTCAATAATTGGAACAGTTCACATCATTTGCAGACTGCACCAATACTAATACGCGAATAAGTACAGGACGTGGGGAATGCGAGATTGCAGGTTCTCACGGCTACGAGTATTAAGATGACTTCTTGCCCCGTACAGTCTGGTGAAAATTGACTGACTTCTCAGAAGTAATTTTCCTCCATTACCAACAACTCTGATGGAGGCAATGAGCAATTTTTATCAGACTACACGGCGCTGAAGAAAAAAGTTCAGGCCCCCCTAGAAAATAACACCAATTAAAACATGAGGGCAAAATTAACAAAAAGGGCTTTAATGACTGTTCAGTGCTAATATGGAGTCTATTTCTGGATCATAGCACCGGATAAGTGCAGGCTGCAGTGCCGAAATTTCGGAGATCGTTAGCGTCTCGATTTTCAATATTACGTCACTTATCAAATAATCTGTTTTGGTCTAGACGGAAGGACTTCGATTCACTATTGTGTCATTCTGAGTTAATTTTCACCACTAAGGTCTGCTGTACGGACTTACAGAGTACCTGAAGATAAAAAGTCACTCGGAGCGTATAACAGTTCCTTATTCCAATAATGTTCTATTTAGACTTCAATAGCATGGGGCTCAGACACAGGGAAGAATCTGCTTCTGCCGAGGACACTGAAGACAATAATAATGTAAGAGAACAGGATGTGTGTTCCAGCGACAGGACAGTTCAGCTTCGTGCAGATCTATTGTGCCACTGAAACATGGCTGCTTCCAGTCAAACGACTATCAATCAAATGCCACGATGTATAAAGGGGACCAATCAGCTGTCAGTCACAGGTAGCAAGACAATAATAATAATAAGAAAACAGTACAGCAGATTTCTAATTCCCCTCCCATCAACCACACGACAGGGAACTACTACCGACTGCAACAACGGCACAAGTGACACTGTAGGATTTGATGTTCTCAAGGTGTACTGGGTTGTAGAACCGTGTAGTCTGGTAGATGTTTACCGGCGCTTCAGAGACCATTGCTGCCTCCATCTTCAGGACAATGAGTTAATATGAAGGCAGCAAGCACTTCTGCAATGTCAGCAAACTTTTACCAGACTACATGGCGCTACAACCTAGAAGACAGTTATCTAAGTGACACTCAATACAAAATTACAACAGTGTACATTTTACTACATTATATTACCTGCTTAACTGACACACAGACTCCATTTTGTCCAGCGATCAGTCAGTACAACAAATTAAGTATTATCGTAAAACTGCAGTGAACCTTCTTGAATTTACTGACTACATAAGCGACTATTAGCTTCCTGAGAAGAGAACGATTACATAGAATTTAATAATTTGTTTTCTGTTATTAACACTTATATAATTAAAATTATTTTCACTACTAGGTAACGTTTGTAACAACTGTCTCAAAGCATTATAGTGCAGTTCGTCATAAGGCTCTGAAGAAAACCACGCAAATATCGACCTTCTCTGGCTGGTGATCTATTGGTTGACACTTCCCAGGTACATCGCGATCAGAAATAAACTCCTCTATCACTGATCAAAATCTTGGTTTAAAATTGAAATAGAATAAAATGTAGTGACAATCGTGCCTTAGACTACTGTAGCACGGACATCATGAAGCCCCCCACCCTGAACAATGCGCCATCCATTATATGAAATGAGAATTTAACAGCGCAATGTTGTCCAACCCACTTCTATCATTCTGTTTTATACAGGTATGGAAAATGGCTTTAAATTGATTGTATCAGACTACACGTGAAGACCAGAAAATATCACCACTTGATTATTGTAATTAATTCGTATGTGGCAGCCATCTTTTAAGTGGCGTGCACATTCTTCATGCTAAATCAGACTTTTTTCTCATAAGCTGTACGCAAGTAGCCACAGTGTCTTGTTAGAGGCTTCAGCGCGCGTAGGTAAGAAATTACGACAATAAATTCAGAACAATAAAAGATTTTAAAAAGTCTGAAGAAAATCCGTTGTTTCCTTTTCTTATTCAACATGGACAGGATTATTTAGCCTATTTCAGGCTCAAATGTAGTTCCAAACAACATTTTAACGCCTTTCTTAATGCAACTAGAAAGGTTTCTCTACTTCATGTACCGGACGGACATTGATGAACAGTTACTGAACGTTGTTGAGACTCTCCTACGTCTTAAATGTTCCTAACACCATCTTTAATAAAGATGTGAGGCTTTCAAGGTGGTTAGAGTTCGAATCACTTTCTTCTAGTGTGACATCGTTTATCTTTTAGGTGGCTAATAAAATTTCGGAGGAAAATGCTGCCTCCATCTTCATATTATACTTGTCACAATCAAGAAATATCAGGTGAAATTAAGTAATTTATTCTAGAAAATGTATACAAGAGTTTTCGTAGAGAAAACGATGATCCGCTTTTCTACTACCGAAGATTGGATTAAGGTGGATTAGGATAGGACCTTCGACGGGATCTTGTATACAACTGTAATTAACATTCAGTATGAATATAAAACGGCTAGGAGTTCTCTGACCAGCTAAAAGACCACCAGATTATCAGGAACTTTCCGCTACATGAATTCAGTCAAATATGCAATTATATTTTGAACAGTTTCAAAGGAAATGTCCACAAGCTTCTGCAATTAAAAAGTGAATAAAATTCTCTTCAGTCTTATGTTCAAATTTATCATCACCTTTTTAAAGACAAATGCTGTTTTACTTCAACATCTGCTTTTATGATTATTTTTGCGTTATAATGACTGTTTGCTAACCACTACTACGTGTTTAAAAAAGACAGAGTCACAACACTGGCAGCTTTATGGTCGAATTTACCCGAACTCCTTAATTGCCATTGTAAATAAGCAATAATGGATGTTTTCTCAGAGACTCGTCTACAAACAAGACATCATGTCTTCTGGGCCGTTTGCACTGTCAGGATCAAGTGCATTCTACAAAGTGCTTCTGAAATTTACCGTCTTCTTGAGGTCTAATACGTGATATTCACAGAACTGTCTGCGGCCTTTCGTGTTTATTCTGACAAAGGATGATAATACATTCCACGGCCACCTTCTACCCTGTCCGAATCAATGTTAAAAATCTTAGTAAGCGTTGATTGGTACACAGGTGCTGGGCTACAATAGCACATCTGCAGTTGGTTCATGTCACCTGCTCTGTTCTCTTCTAGCTTGGTCTGGTCGCTTAATCGAACAAGTTGAAAACTCCTGCACTAGACAGTATTGTGTGTTCACAAACATTTTTAAGGGCTCTATAGCACCATCTTCGGCTTATAACTGAACGGTAAGCACAAATCTCGGGTCTCAAATAACAACTTACAAAACTTTCCAGGCGACCACTATAAAATTAACAAAACAAATGAGCAAAGCGATATCTAATGTGGGCTGTATACTTTCTAAGAGTTTCAAAGAAACATGAACATACGTTGTAATTCTTTTCTTTCTTGTCTTCTAATTCAAATGTTTCTCGAAACTGACTATTGACAGAACTGCTTAGATTTAAAAGGTATTACGAACTGATCAATGAATGCAGTGTACAGCCTACAATACGCGTTGGAATATACACACTGGTTTGAGATCATTTTTTTAAATCATCATTTTAAATTATTATAACCTCAAGCATGTCTCGACGGATTCAAAAATCGTGTAAGAAATAAAATAGCCATGTTACGACAGAAATGTTCAATGTGTGCTATTTTCCCGTCATTTTTAACCGGTAATTATCTAGTATAATTATAAATTACGAGTTTAACGAAATTCTGTAATAGGTAACCTCTGACAAAATATTACCTAGCATTTATCATCGAATATCTGAGTCACAGCGAAGGACGTAAACTATCGGAAAGCAAACAAGACTCGTTATTACACAACGAACTAGTGTCTGGAAGGTGTGTAAGCATCACGTGACAAAATTGCAGGAGAGTAAGCTCGTGGTTTGCCTTAATA